TCACTAGTGTTACAGCATTCATCGGCAACTTGGCACCGGTGTCTACACCTTCACCGACACCTCATCACCACCTTCACCGACACCGCCGCGTTCACACCTTCCCCGACACCTGGTCACAACCTTCACCGATAACTAGTCACCAGTGTTACAGCCTTCATGGGCAACTCGGCACCAGTGTCTACACCTTCACCGACACCTCATCACCACCTTCACCGACACCTGGTCACAACCTTCACCGATAACTAGTCACCAGTGTTACAGCCTTCATCGGCAACTCGGCACCAGTGTCTACACCTTCATCGACACCTCATCACCACCTTCACCGAAACCACCGCGTTCACACCTTCCCCGACAACTGGTCACAACCTTCACCGATAACTAGTCACCAGTGTTACAGCCTTCATCGGCAACTCGGCACCAGTGTCTACACCTTCACCGACACCTCATCACCACCTTCACCGACACCACCGCGTTCACACCTTCCCCGACACCTGATCACAACCTTCACCGATAACTAGTCACCAGTGTTACATCCTTCATCGGCATCTCGGCATCAGTGTCTACACCTTCACCGACACCTCATCACCACCTTCAACGACACCTCGTTAGCACCTCGCTAGCACCTCGTTAGGGTTTAAATCGCCTTCATCAGCATCTCGGTACCAGTGCCGCCTCATTGACATCATATCACCACCACATTCACACATTTCATCCAAACATCATCAATAGCTTCAACGACACCCTATCAACACTTTCGCTGACATCTCATCAACACGTTCACTTACACCTCATCAACACCTTCGCTGACATCTCATCAACACATTTACTTACACCTCATCAACACCTTCGCTGACATCTCATCAACACGTTCACTTACACTTCATCAACACCTTCGCTGACATCTCATCAACACATTTACTTACACCCTATGAACACCTTCAGTAACACCTCATCAACACATTCACTGACGTATCATCAACACATTCGCTTACACCCCATGGACACTTTCATCAACACCTTCGCTGACATCTCATCAACACATTTACTTACACCCTATGAACACCTTCAGTAACACCTCATCAACACCTTCGCTGACGTCTCATCAACACATTCGCTTACACCCCATGGACACTTTCAGCAACACCTCATCAACACCTTCACTGACCTATTACGACTTCCATCCATACATCATCTTCACCTACATCGAGACTTTATCCTCATCATCACCATTACTGACAACATATCAACACCACATTAATTTTCCTTTTCGTCCCAACTAGGCTGCTGACCCATGCTTGGTTTAACAGAGATGCGTCATTTATTTGAAAGATGCAGATGATTAAAAAACTTTAACTTTACTTGTTTTCATAACCTCAAAATGAGAAACACGAAATGTTTATTTTGCATAGAACAAAACCCCATATCGGAAGTGTTGATAACATGGATATTGTGACATTTTCTCATTCCGATTTCCCGCTCAGTGCGGCAAGAGCGGCGTTTTTGATGCCTCAATGTCGCCCGTCTGTCGCGGTCGAACTGCTTCGTAATGAACTTCGCATCTAAAATACATTAACGCAGACCCAAATATTTCTAGCAAAAACTCGGGATGACTAGGCTAGCTCCTTGAGGGACGCCGCGCCTAGATAACATAGCGGTAGAATCTGACTGAATATTTTGGTGACAGCATTTTTGAAATACCGGAAATTATATTTTGTTCTTAGTTCCTTGAATTTTGTGTTAATTTTGACATTTTTAGATGATTTCATACCAAAGTTACAATAAAAACAGTAGTTTATTCTTCGATCCTTATATTAACTATTCATGTGTTTTTTACCACTTTTGATACGTCACTATACTCCGTTCACAATATTTAGGCGGTTTTAGGGGAGGAAACCTACCCCCTCCACTCTATCCCAGCTGATTAAGCATACATTAAATACAAAAAGTGGTGGGGGAACTTCCCCTCAAACCGCCTAAATTTTGTGAACCAAGTATAGTTCATTGGATATTTCAAATAAAGCTAAAATAGAGAGAGCATGTTTCATGAATAATAAAAATGGGATTTTAGTAAAGAAAATTTGATACTATTTAGAAAAATACTTCAAAAATAAATATAAAGGGTGAAGAGTAGTGCATTTTAGCACATTTTTGAGCCAGTTCTGTTACTCAACAAAATTAGTTTTATTGTATAGGTATTTTACGGGAGTAAGTCATATAGCTTGTGTTCTTGGATAAATCTGCTGCTTAATGAGTTTCACTAGTATTTTATGACAATATTACTTTAATACTTTTTCTTGTATTTGTGTACAAAATGAACAGAGATTTTGCTTTGATTTGCTATACCTTGTATAATTTATCACTCCAAAACCTTTGGATGGTATGATTTAATTTTTCATAGTGGATCTATTACTTTAAAAATTACTATGACATGTTTAGTCTTGCATTCACGTTAATGTATTCAGTTTATGAGTCCCAAACTATAGCACAAATTAAGATTTCAACTGACTAAAGAACCACCTGATATTAGCCAGCAAAAAATGCTAATCGATTATTAATAATTTATTTTTATGTGCATATACCCACCATGGCATGTCAGGTGTATTTAAATCAAATAGGTCCACTAAAAAAAAATTAACTATTAAAGAAAAAAAATGATGAATTTACAAATAAAACACTAGTATATACACAGATTTTATTTGGAGGCACTAAACTATAAATATAAAAGATTCTCAAAGAAACAAATATGAGTAATACCTTGAGCCTACGCAAGTGTTTATAAAAAAAGCAGTATGTTGAAAACGAATCAGTCCTTAAATGGTGCTTGTTAAATCTTTATTCAGCCCCTTCAAAACTAAGTTTGCTACCCACTTAACACATCTGTTAAAAACTCACTGGAATAATCTGGAAGGCCTCTATGTTCTATCATGGACTGGGCCTGGGAGTAAGTTTTATTCTAGTTCTATTCTATTTAGACATCTGAGTTTAGATGTGTTATGGATTTACTTTGGAGGATTAGAGTCTATATAACCGTTATTTGTGATGTGATATAATCCTAATGTAAAAAGTATAAAAAAAATAGCTTTGCAATAATTTTGTAATTTATTCGTTTTCTTCTACCTACCTATAAAGAAACTCGTGAAATTAATCACATGATATACTGTATCTGTATATACAGTACTCTTTCCATATTATTGAAAGAATTAGGTATTGATTTTAATGGATTTGCTTTTATTACCTGGAGCTGTAATTATTTTAACATTGCTTAGAAAATTAGTACCAAGGAAGCTCACATAACATAAGCTTCGGGGCACATGGCTTTATCCTTTTGTCTATGTAAAAATATAAGCTAGCTTTAGTATTGAATCAACTGATTTATAATAAATAAAAACCTTCAACCAATTAATCAACAATATTTTTCATCCTACTCCTGCCGTTTTAGCGAAAGCTATTACCGTAGGTGGCACTGTAAGTAAGACCTGGACCCGGGACCGATTTACTTTTTCATTTTGGTGTCCCTAGAGACCAAAAACACAATTCGTTCAAATTTGTATATATATATATATATATGTATAACAATTTGTATATACATAGGCCTATACATCCGTGAACGCGATAACTTGAGTAATATTTGTCCAAATTTGGTGAAATTTGATTTAACGGTGCGGGATAAACTTGAATGAGTTCGCGAACCAGCATGATTGGACCATGGAAATGGGGTTTTATGGGGGTTACTGGCTTAAAAAATGGGTTTTCTCATTGTTAATCCTCAAAACACAAAATTTCCCAGCTTCTCTCTAAACCTTTTTAAAGAGCTTAAAATCCAAATAATTGAGTACGGTATATCAAAGTGTTTTTGTACAGTTATTGGTAACCGAGAAAATTAAAAAAAAATAGTAAATTAAAAATTTCCAAGCTATGGAGAATATTGTAAAATGTTGTAGTTTGTTTGTTTATGGATATATTTTGATCAAACTTGGCAAATTTATTTATTTTATACTAATCTATTAATATTTGACTAAAAACCCCACTTTATTAGTTTCCTTGTACCAGCAAACCTAGGTACTCGTTAAACATAATGTTATTTTAATTGATATAATTGAAATTAAATTCAGACAAATTGAAATTTGCTTAGTCGGCAGGTTTGCTGCAGAAGGGGTATTTAGTTCTCTAAACCGTCCACAAAATCATCATTTTCGGGCAACTTGAAATAGGGAACAGGAAAAACATATGGTACATTTTTCTGTCCGTTAACCTCAAAATATGTTTATGGCACAGAGATATTCTCGAAAAATGTAAAAAAACTACCTAATACACCAAAACAGTATAACAAATATTAAATTACAAGAGTGTTAAACCTAAATTTCTATTGCCTATTTTGATATAGAAGGATATAAATAAACGTTTAAGAGATATGATTATTTAAATTTGTTTAATGCAAAGCATATAACATACATAGATTACAATACTTTTGGTTAAAATGTAAATGTATCTATAGATTTCACTTAACCATAACATGACTAGAATCAATAAAAATAGCAAATAAACAAACAATCCATAAATAACAAAACATTATTGAATGTTGCCCATTTGACTTCATATTAAATCAAATATTTGTCTTAAAAGTAAAATATAAAAATAATACTATTATTGTACTTAATATCTAAAACTCTTCTTTCAATGCTCAATCTCTCTTTCAAAAATGTAAAAGTCAATTCATAGTCAATTTATGCATGACTAGCAATGTACCAAAATATTAAATGAATAGGGATAACATGAATGAAACTGGGATAGCAACAAATGTTGAAATATTGAATATTGAGTTTTTTACAATTATCTTCATGTTCATTTGAAGGCTACATTTTAATTTACTTTCTTCTGTTGCTTTTCAGTTTTTCTCATCATTTTTAACTCCACAAAGGTCCATTCTACATTGGCTAAGAGCCAATTCTAAGATAATGGTAGAATTTTATTACAATACTAGAGAAAGTGATCATTTTAAAAATTAGTGTCTGCTGGAAAACAGAAACATTTTGAAGCTAACAGAAAAAGATTAATCAATTGTGTTTGCCTTTAGAATTAAAAATTATCAAGGTAAAAATGTATTTATTGTAATGCTTTTTTGGAATGCATGAGGAAACCTAATTAAATCAAAGCAGTTTTCAAAGAAAACAAAAATTATAATCTACAAAACAATAATTAGACTAGTACTTTTATATAGAATCAAAATCTGGACCCTGAGCAAAAATACGGAAAAGAAGATTATAACCTTTGAGAATTAAGTTCTAAGAGCTATGGTCCAGTGTGTGAAGATAGAGTATGGAGAATCCGCCACAACCAAGAGTTAAGAGAATTATTCCGAGACCCCAATATTGTAGGAGAGGCCAAAAGCAAAAGGCTAAGGTGGGTCGGTCATATCTTGCGGAGAAATGAGGAGAGCTTGTTGAAGAAGGTACTAAGGGGAGATCCAAGGGGAAGGAGACCACCAGGAAGACCAAAGGCCAGGTGGTGGGATCAAGTCAGGAAAGATATGGAAGTAGAGGAAGATTCAGTGGACCGAGAGAACCTGATGGCGACAACGTGTTGGCGAGGGCCAAGTACCAAATAGGGTACAAAAGTCCTTGGCAGTAAGTAAGTAATGCTTTTTGATACAGATATAAAAAACAACTGTTTAAATATTTTGTTTTAAATTTCACTAGAATTTTACATCTTGCAATTTTACATCTTCCAAGGAACATGTAAATTAAAGTAACAATTTGTACCCTGTATGGAAGGAGGTTATCCTGATGATGTGAAACTTAACACACATAAATGATACCTAACTGAAACATAATGATTCAAACATAAAAAAAATCAAGAATCAACTGAGTCCTATCTGAGTGCTATCTAAGACTGTATTTTCTAAACTCTTGATATTCCTTCATATGATCAACAGGATATCACTTTTCTCAAAGAAAAAAACAATATTGGTTTAATGTTTTATAGCTGGGAAAAATTATATTAAAAATTATTCAGTTTTGACTCATGAACATACAATTTAAAATATTGTTTTGAATTGGCGTAGTAATTTGCCTCATATGATGAAAAGTATCCTCTATAATTGGCCAAAAGTCACATTCCAAACATAACATTTTGCCTTGTTTGTACAGACTTTTTTCAATTGACATCACATCTGCCTTCTGGTACAACTTCATTTCTCTACAACATCGAAGGTCATTTCCCCGGAAGGTCCAGATCTGGGGTCCAGTCAGTCATCCGGGCCGGGGTCCTCTGGTGGGACTTGTTAGGGAACATGTCCAGCTGTAGGAAGGAGCCCTGGAGGCTGTCCTTGGGGGATCCTGAGGGAACAAGTCGTACAGGTTTGGTAGTCCCGTGACACCTGATGGCAAACTTGAGCTCCAGCATGAAGGCTTCCCATGGAGATATCTGTTTGACAATAACCGATCACAGGTGAGATAATATAGAATGGATTATGGAAGCACATATCAAAGTACTAAGTATTTAACTATTTTTAAGTACTATTAAGTTTTAAGTATTTTTTCCATACCACTAAAAGAAATGTTATAGTTTTTTTTCTCTTTTTTTCAGAAAACCCTCACATCCCTATTAAATTTACTATAAGCAAATAATCATGTGAGCTGTCATGGCCTCTTAGGTTATACGAGTCATATTTATTCTTCATCCTAAATGTTAGTTCAAAATCATAAAGTACTTTTAAAAGATATACTTTTGTATAATATATAGTGTGGAAATAAGAAGATAACACATTGTTTTGCATCAAATCCTTCTTAGTTTTCCAAAAGCAATATGCATATTATACTAAAACAAGAGGTGGAATACTAAACTACCTTTTCATTGACAGCGACTTTCCGGACATTCCAAAGGAACTCGAGTATTGCCACGATGAAGGACAGAGCACAGCCTCCCAACAAAACTATGAACACTCCTCCCACGTTCTCCATGTCAAACTCATTGCTTGGTGTTGAAGATGACAGGAACTTCTAAAAAAAAGCAAAACAAAAACACATGAATAATAAACTGTTAATCATCCTTTTGTAAAGGTAGCATCAATATTTCAACAAATCAGTATTTGTAATTTTACTCAGGTATTATATATGTACTGACACTTTGACGATAGAGAGCAAAGTGGTGCAAGGGACTATAAAGTGAAGCCAATTTATCAATTTCTTTTCTAGTTACTAGAGTTTATGACTTATAATACCAAAACCACAGATAAAACATAGTCCCTGATGAGTGGATTTCTCATCTTTATGGAATAGCTGAAGCCAATTTTATTGTTAGCTCTGTACAGTGCAATGTAGAGGTCCTGTTTTGTTGTCAAGTTGTTTCCTTTTATTTCGGTCATTTAAAACCTTGTTTAACCAAATAAAACAATCTAATAATAAAAAATAACTCGTCTACTTGCTATATAACCAAACAGTGAGACACAAATAATGAAATTAACCCTAAATAATAGAAACAAAATTTCGTCGACACTAGCCCCCCGTGCACCGTACATGAACTAAACACAAAAAATGAGCTTCAAAATTTACAATGGGTTGAGAAGTATACTTGTGTTGTCTATGCCAAAACTTATAAAGGAGGTCAAATAAATACCAACAGAGGAGGGCAAATTAACCTTGAACTTTAAAGATAGATCAAGTTTGCCTCAGGTAACCTAAAATACACTTAACTGAGGCAGGTAACTTGCCTTCCTACTGGCCTTGTGTAAACACTGCTTCAGTCTTTATAAAATTTTTGACTTACAAAATAAAAAGATTTGTGAAGAAAAACCAGGGTCAAAACAAAACCGAAGTGTGCTGTGATAATTATTTAAAATAAATCATCAATAGATAACGTTGAGTGATCACTAAAAAATTTGCCAAAGTCCTAATAATTATAGAACAAGCACTAAGATAAAAAAAAATCCCTTAAAGCTCCAATTGACCCTTAACATCCATTATTGAAACTTACATCACAGTTTGTGTTGTTTGGTTTCCAGGCACTCCACCATTTCTTTTTCAAATCCCTCAACTTCCCTGACTCCTGAAGTTTCAGTACAGATCCACTGATTGCAGTGCGATAAGGTGAATCTGAAAATATAATGTTCAGTCTTGGATAAAAATGCAACAGTGTACCCGACCTCCTAAATTATTATCTACCATTGCCAACATTGTGAAACACTTGAATGGACTCTTACACTATATCATTTTTGATAAGTGACAAAGCATGTCGTTCAGACCATTTTACCAATGCATACAGTAATACATACAGTAAATATCCCATCAAAATTGAAGTATTTTCTTAAGTTTAAAGCAGTTAAGTTTTGCAAAAAACCTCTACTTGTCTTCCTATTTGATTGGATTCCGCTTCATCACAACAGGCTTCAAATGAATAAAGAAAAATCTGATCTGAGTCATAAAAAACAAAACAAAACATTTATTTCCTATCACTCACTCCTACATTCATATTTGGATTTGAATAAGCGTTAGTTTTGCATCCCCTTATAAAAGTGAAGTCAGTTTCATCTCAGAAATACTGACCCGAAGGCATCGCAATGCCGTATCCTTTGGAGTCAAGGGTGCTGCCAATCTGCATGAGGTCGCAATATTGCTCCATCTGGAACTCTATCGTTGTGGACTCCATGAAGAAAGCATACCCTCTGTTCTTGGCCTTCCTCACACGGTCGACGCCTTCGTTGTTGTCCTTGACAAACACCGAGGGAGTCGAGGACTGCATCACACTCCACATCTTCTGGTAGAGGCTGTCGTTGCTGTCCTGGAATTGTATTTTTATTCTGTAATATCTGTATATATCTCTAGCCCTGTGACTAACTAACACCACTTTTATGTTTGACGCGGGTGAAAGCATACCCGGCTATGTGAGGGTTGCGATCGCCGTGGGTCAGTACTGACCCAAAACCCACACTGCAGTGCATCATTCTGTTGCTCAGTGCGAGCCTAGCGTTGGTCGAAGGCAGGCCAATACCATCTTAGTGTGTAGTGGGTGATATGCTTTTTGTTGTGGTGTAGGTTGGTAGTAAATTTCTAACGTAAAATCCCCGACTGGCAAGCTTAGAAATTAACTCCTTCTCCCGTCTTTCTGCCTCCAATTAGCAATACAATGGGATCGGCTACATTCCAAGCAGTGCTGCTATCTGTGGGTGTTTTAACGAACTACTTCGACTCTTGTCGTAACGCAGTACATCACTACACGTTATTTGCTATTCGTCAGACCGAAATTTGAAAGCCAATTGCCCGGCAATCGGGCTCGTTAGACGCTGTGCCGCACAGGGGATATGCCCGCCATTGATGGGCCGCAGCGAACGTTTTAACATCACAGAAAATAGTTCATGTCCTATTCTGTGATAATATGCAGATCTTCCACCATGGCAATGAAAATTGGTAAGAACCATCAGTGCTGTCGAACAAAAGGTCGAAGTTAGCTAACAAGAACAGTTTTAGCTGTTTCCTCATCAAACTATAAAAGCCAATGCTGTTGAAAAATACACAAAACAGAAAATCTATCCATTACTCTTGCAAGTCAAAAAAAGGTATTCAAAATTGATTAAAATTTGTCTTCAATTGAAGATGTGACTTAATAAGGTTAAAAAATAAATTAAATAGGAAAAGCCATAAATTAGTTATTGCAAGACTAAGTAAACAGTATTCAAAAGTAAACAAGAATCATCTTTGATTCAACCCACACTAAAGAAGCAGTGTTTGCCCTGAACCATCCCACATGACATGGTATATAATTTTTTCTGGCGTGGGTTAAAAAAGCCAATAACCCATGAAATGGATTAATTCTTGCAATACAAAAAAAGTGTATTCAAAATTGATCCCGATTTATCTTTGAACATCTGACTCACCCTGAAGAAGTTGGCGCTGGATCCTCCCCACATGACACCGTACTTGACTTTGTTCTGGTTGGCCAAGTCCTCTGCACTGTCTATAGTGTTGTCCATCTTCTGTTGAGTGATGAAGGCAGCAAGGTTGGCCGTGTAGGAGGAGATCATGATGAGAGTGAAGAACCACCACATTCCAGCCACGATGCGGGTGGACACCGCTCTAGCAAAGAATTACAAAAGTCCTCTCAAACTAAGCATGTTGAAATGAACAAATGGTCATAAATCACTTTCTTGTCTAGTATTAAATGTTCTGTGAATATTGCTTTTAAAGGTGTTTTTAATAGTGATACAATTGATGCATCATAAAGTTTCCAAAGGTTCGCTACCACAATAGTACACAATTTTTCATTCATATGGACCAGCGTCGGAAATATGCAGCGGCCGGCTTCTACCCATAGACTGCTGTCGCAAATATGCCACAGCTGGTCACATTAAAATAGACTGACGTCGGATATTTGCGTCGGTGTACCAATGTTATTAAAAAGCTTATGCAGTAGAACCTTGATAACAAGACTCTCATGGGGATTATTAAATAAGACTTGTTATCAAGGTGACTTCTTATCGAGGTTTGCAATAACATGTGGTTAGGGGTAAAATAAATTCTAAGGGATTTAAAAATGACACTTGTTATCAAGGAAGACTTGATTTCGAGGGTCTTGTTATCAAGGTTCCACTGTATCTTTGTAACGGTCTATTTGAAGGCTCTGAATTTTCTGCAGTAGTCTACAGAGAGTTTTCAAAACAAAATGGATGGGAATTGAGTGTAATGATGTAAATTAATGATTTATGTTGAATATGCATACTTTTTTACCAAGTAAATCTGATACGATTTATTGGAAGTTATAGCATCATCTATAGAACATCAAATATCCAAGTAATTAGGCTGGTTGTATACTCGTTCAAATGATGCTGCTTTTTCCTTTTGGTCAAAATTTAATAAAAAATTTGAAAATGTTTACATGATATTACTTTGTTCTCATATTTACTGACACATTTTCAATAGTTATGAAGTAGTCCTGGCTTCTGGCGACGCTAAAAATACTAACAGTGTTCTCAGACTTAGTCCCTACTATCTAATTTTCTCTGATTGAGACAATTTTGCCATGTATTTTCCTCCAAGTTAAAAGTTTGAAAATCCCTCTTCATATTAACTTACATGCAGAATTTTTTTAACATCTTGAGAGAAAAATTTTCTTAGAGTTGTACTATAGTCAACATACATATTTCAACCATTATTGAATATAATTAGTTGTTTATTTTTATAATAGGTTTTTACTTACATCTTGTGATAAAAATACTATTTTATTCATAAACCATAAGTTAATAGATACCATAAAAAAATGATAAAACTAAATGCTGTAAACAACTTTAAATGATTAGTTAACACTCAAATGACATGCAATAATAAAAACACAAAAGTTGTGAGAAAATTACATTACATAAATCTACATGCATGAGGTTTATTTTAGTTTCTTTGCTTATTTTAGAGGGGAAATAAGGGGTCGCACCTTACAACATTGAATAATTTGGGTCAAATATACTTACATTTTCACATTATATACTTACAAAATTTGTTGAACCGTTTGAGATGACAATGACAGTTCAATGAATGCAATAAAAAATAGATTATTTCACATGACTACCTATCTTTCTCTATAAAATGAAGTAAATACTCATGAAACTATTGATTACATCCTTCATTTTTTTTACAATTATTTATAATCCCATAGATACTGATCAACTAGATAGAAAATGATTTTTAATTTCAAATCCTATTTCAAAGAATTAAAAAGTAAAGATTGCCAAGGATAGTTAGAAAGTAACGTCTTTGGTAGTTGTAAGGGATCCAAAGACAAATACCTCCGCTGCACCAAACCTGCATACAAAGTGAATTTCAATTTGTCCTATTGGACTTTAACTAAAATATTTCAATAAACAAGTCACATTTCCTTCCCTATTTAAAAACATTAGATTTAACAAGCTATGTTTGCTGCCATTGGTAATCGGAAAAGTTGGTTTTTGATAAAAAATTAGTAGTATATGATGAAACAAAAAAATTTGACAAATTACAGAACTAAATATATCCAAACAAAACGACACTTTTATTTTTCCCTGTAAGAATAACATTAGGAATTTTAACTATGCAGTTTTTTTTATTTCCCTGTAACCTTTAACTGAACAACAATGTTTTAATGTACAAAATTGTTTTTAAAAACTCTACACGATGACTGTATTGAAAATTGGGAATTTCCATGTTTTATCTGTAATAATTAAAAAAAAAAACAATTTTTGGAAAATTTTAAAACCTAACAACATCTAATTAAAATGACCTGATCTTGCTGGTTCCCAAACTTAATCAAGTTTATCCAGCTCTACACATTCATGCCAAATATCATCAAAATTACTCAAGTTAGTGTGTTTACGTACACATGTATTATTATCAGAATACATATAAAAATTGAACTAATAGTGATTTTGGCCTCTGGAGACATCAAATTAAAAAAGTAAATCGGTCCCAGGTCTAGTCTTTTCTTGCCACCCACAGTAATAGCTTCATCCCTATCAGGAAACTCGCTAAAATCAACTTTATTCTTAGGTCGAGCCAATCTTCTATGCAGCAGAACAGTTTAATTTAGACAATTTTAAATAGAGTGCAACATACAGCACAGCCTTGTAAAATACAGGATACACCGGTATTAGTACTTAGTTTTCTAATAAAAAATCAATCTAGAAAAATTAAGAGTCAAGATTTGCTTAACAGTATGTAGACTTCTATCAAAAATGAAAATAATATTAATAAACTATTCAAAATTCTATACCAACTTTATCTTTGATATTTTAGTAATTATTTGAGCATTGACTATAAATACTGATGGATGTTATAGGTATTCAGTTTTGAGTGCTCTAAAATGTCATAGAGTTGAGTAACTGAACCAATAAACTGGAAACTTTCAAACTACAGCAAAACACGCCAAATCTATAGTCAATGCTCAGTTAGTTATGAAAATAACACATTTTAGCTGCGAATGAGTGTACTAGTCTACGTCTAAACTACAGGCGGAGCTACGTAATAAAATGTCTTACTGGGGGGCAATGTCCGAACCTTGCTGCATTAGGGATCCGCAGTTGTGCCATATTAAATTGTTCATTGTCAAAGTGTTTTCAAGGAATTCAGGACTCTCCTTGCAGGGGTGGGGGTTTTTCCACTCTGAAGGTGTGATCCTGCGAACAATGCTAGTTAGGTCCAGACAGTTCAAGAAATTTCAAGTTTGAGAGGGTTTAGTCAGAAGAATTGGTGGGAGAAGGTATAGATTTGAATTTTTAGTGGAACTTTAGCTAAATTGGGTGATTGGTTAGATCAAGATTTTGGATTTTAGAAACAGTTTAAATTAATGATTTAGGGAACGCAAAAATCTTGGGGGTGAAAATGTTGAATTTTTATTTAATTTTGTCTTGAAATTTGAAAACTAATCGCAAAATTTAAGTTTCCAACCGCGGTAGGTCCAGATTAAAGCGGGTTACAGCACAGAATGAACTGGGTGAAGCGGACTTACACAAGATTATATACACTGGTACCGAAAGGTGTACTGGAAGCGTACCATGCAGGGGCAAACGACACATGACATGCAGCCTTTCCAATCCTTACTTGGGCAACAGATCACAACCCTGGGTAGTCAGGGAGCCAATGGAAAACCATAAGCAATTGGTTAGATTGAAAGTGAGTTCCAACTCTTCCGGTTCAGAGTTGCACGGATGCGGATTCTCCCACTGATAAGGGGAGCACCTGGAACAAGCTGATAAGGTGACCCCCTGCAGGCTTGCCAACATTGAAACATGAAAAATACCTCCAGGGAATGATTTTGGTAACACTAGTGATTTACCAGTAGTCAAAGATTGTTAGTTTTGCAACATTTAACATTTTGTTTTAGACCTAAAAGGGTTCCCCGATGATGAGGAGAGCACCTGGAAGCTGATAAGTCCTGCATGTTTTGTAACATTATACATGAAAATTACCTTTAGGATATAATTATTTGTCTAGGCTATATGAGTTATTCTTTTGGTCTGTTGACAGAAACTATTAGGTGTACAGCAAATGATTTTTTTCTAATCCTAAAGAAATTCTTCGACTAGTATAATTAGCACCTTATAGATTAAAATATTTCTTCAAACCTTTAAAAACATGATACCCAATAAATGATTGGGCTGGGTATAAAGACAGCCTGGGAGTGTTTATGTCCCCTGAACAATTTATATAAATTAAAGTAGCATATCTTACTTCCTCCGAACACCCGCACAAATCTCAATAGATATTTACCGCACCAATCTAAGGTAGGCATATCTTACAAAAACCAAAATCGTCAAGTTAGATACATAATGAATTAAAATTGAAAACTATTGCAGGTTTAAACAATTTTAAAATAAAATAAGATTGCTAAAATAAATAAATTGTGTTGGATGCCATTTTAGAATAATTTGCTTCAACTATTTGATATAGATGGGATGATTACATCCATATTCAAAATTCAATTGTTGAAATTCCAGACCTTGAAAGAATGTAGAGTAGCAGGGATATCCCGAGGTAGGCAGTTGCCATGGTGATCCATACGTTGAAGGCGAGAGGAGACAAGAAGGAGAACAAGTCCACATCCTGCTTCTCTGGCTTCTTGTACAAAATACTGATACCTGCGAGGAAAACAGGTTTTAAAGTCTATTGGTTTGTAAAAATTAATTCACTGCAAATTTCTACTAGACTTCTTCAATGCCAGATTCAGAGTACTTGTCGCCCTAGGCCAAATTAACACAAGCAGTCCCAGCAGTCCTCTAGGAACTCCCTTAAGCCGGGTTATCCTAGGCGTGGAAGTGGAGAGCGGAGAGAGGAACGTGGAGAGCAGACTCCACTTGTCTAAGGTAATTTAATGTTACTGTTTTCCTAGAAGCGTAGCGGAACAATATGTTAATCTCTTATCCGCTCTCCGCGTTTCTCTCTCCGCTCTCCGCTTCCGCGCCTAGGAAAACCCAGCTTTAGGCGGAATTTCCCCATGATCGCGGCAATAACATCTCCCACAGTCAAGGGGACTTCATCATTGTCACCCACGATCTTGGAAAATCGTGAACATCTCCTACTTCTTGATTATTCATCTATAGCCTGTTTTTATGATGATGTTACGTTCCGCTTATTTATGCTAATGCTAACTCCATTTATTTCTTCCAACACTTAAAACTAGATTATTTGTAGAAAAAGTAGCATAAAAAAAGCAAAAGTTTGATATATCAAGCATCCTACTTGATCACATGTACAAAATATTCAAATTATGTAAATGATTACAAGCTTTTGTAAGTTATTCATGAAAGGAAATCAATTTCAGCATTAGAATACTGCTGTACTAATCACGGATCAAAAATGAGATTTTTATAATTTTTGCTTTAAGTTCATAAAAGACAATTTTTTTTAATTTTTTTGTACACCTATAATTTATGACTAAAATAGCCCTTTTAATGTGTTTCCTCCAAGTGGCATATATAACTACTAATTGGTTTTAAAACTGCAAAATCACAAGTTATTGTTACAATATCACATATCTGAATTGAAATCCTGATTTGGACGAATTCATCTGAAAGAAATGTTTAATAACTGTATAATCTAATATGCTAAATTTGATCAAACCAGTCTTTACCTAGGGTCATGAAGGGCATGGTGAAGTCCACAGCACTCCTGCGGTCGAAGGTGATGGTCAGATCACAAATGGCCAAATCTGCTCTCTGAAACAAGAAATAAATATTGCAAAATTTTTTAAAAATTATTAAAAGAGGTGTTTAGAGATAACATTTGTTATAGTAGATCGAAAGAAAACTATTTGATGAAAGTTCCTTTCTGTCAAACTCCACCATCTTTTCAAATTCTTTTCCAGATTAATTTTGTTGGGTCAACTATATATTATTCGTAAAAATCATGAGCTTTGGGAAAAAATATAAATAGAAAATATTATGGATATGCTTCAATCTTCTACCAATAGGTAGTATAGTAGATAATCCATTTCCAAGTTAAATTTGTTGCTAGTTTTAGCATAAAATGAATATGCTTGAATTGACCCACTGACAGAAAGAGTTGAGCTGCTGTTAATTACCTACCTAGGTCACCTATGCATATGTCAACTTTTTAACCAAGTCAAACTGAAAGGCTTACTTATATTGTTAAACATAAAATCTTATCCAACTTAATTTTTAGTTCAGTGATAGGGTAACTGACTAGTTTAGATTAGTAATAGTGTAGCTAAAAATATATTAGGTTACAATTCGGTTGTGTATAGATTTTCATTAATAAGGGCATTAGAAATCCAGATAGCAAATGAAGGTACAAAACTCATTTGAACTCAAAGTTTAATAGCCTCTTAATATTATACTTTAATACTTTTCAATGAAATGGCAACAATACAAAGTAGGTATTTTAAGCCAAGTATGAATGGAGAAGAGTGTAGGATGAGTGGCGCGATCTCATAGTCTTGTTAGTGACTAAGGCCGACATATTCCTTAGATACAGCTGTTAATTAATAGCCCATACAGCTAATGGCAACTAAATAAAATCAAATCAAATCAAATCAAATCTTTTTATTGTCTTTCAGCTCTACAAAAGCAATTGACATTGTCAAATGGCATCTTATCATTAAAGCATTAAACATAGTCATAATAAATAACAAGAAGCTTGATCTTAAATAAATTATTTAAAAACTTATATCTAAAACCTCCAAGGACAAGAACTTAAATACAGAGTAAAAACATTTTAATTTTAACCATGAATCAAGGATTGTTTTGAATTTTTTTATTGGAATCGTTACTGCTGAAGGGGGCAATTTATAAAAAAATTGTATACTAAGATATTTGTAGCTATTGTGTGTAAGTGTAAGTCTTGTAAGTGGTAAGTTGAGATGATGGCTATTTCTTGTGTAATGTTTATGTATGTCAGATCGGATGCTATACTGGTCTATATTCTCTTTTACGTATAATAAGCAATTTAAAATGTATAAAGATGGAAGGGTTAGGATATTTAGGGCCTTAAAATCTGCTTTGCAATCTTCCCTGGGCATTGTTCCTCTAATGCACCAGACTGCTTTCCTTTGCCATTTGAAAACGGTTTTGGCTCCTACAGAGTTACCCCATAAGAGAACACCATATTGTAGGTGAGAATGGAAAAATGCGTAGTAACAATTTAGAATAATTTGTTCACTTACATTGTTCTTTAATTTGTTAAATAAAAATACAGTTCTAGCCAATTTACTACATAAAAAGTTTGTATGCTCAATCCAATTCAGCTTCTGATCAATATGGATTCCTAGCAATTTTACTGATTTATTGTCATTAGAATTTATTCTAAGGTTAAAATGAATTTCTTCTGTTTTTGAGTTGTTAATCCTTAATTCATTTCCCCGAAACCACTCTTCAGCTAACTTTAATACCCCATCCCGTTCTTCAAGTGCTTTGTTCAGATTTTGACCACTTGTGAGGAATGTAGTATCATCAGACTAAGGGACCTACAGTTTATAGTGGAATCCGAACCACTTTTGCCTTTGGTACTTATATACTAATTAGTCTAATTATCAGGATAGTACTGCGGATAGTCGTAGTACTCACCCGTGCGGACGTTAATCCACACCAGGGAGCATCGCATCCACAGTGCATGCCTATAAATATCCACAATTCGTGACCTCCTAGTAGCCGGATTACAGGACGATGCCACCCGTCCCAGCCTCTGGAGGCTTCTGATAGTTATAATATACCTTAGCATTTCCATAACGCAGTTTCTATCCTGAAGTTTTTGCATATTGCTAAAACATAATCCCACCTTTTCCCGCAGTTCTCGGATGAGGCCATTCCACTGCTTAGTCTCCTTGTTGAGAGAGCCGTACTGTCCATCGGCCACTAGCTCAAAGCGGTACTTGAAGCCAAGATCTTTGGCGATGGCGTCTATCAGGTCCATGGAGTACCCCTCGTATCTCTCATTTCCCACTTTGTTCTCCCAGTCTGGGGCGTACTCCAAGTACGGACGTCCCTGTGTCAAACATTCATTAGGCTCATTCGGAGTATGGACTAAATAAAAGACATAGTTTTAATTTAGAAAAGAAAAGCATTCTACAGGTGTAAAATGAAACATGTTTTGATTATATAGCTATTTGTTGAATAAAGTACATAAGTTTAGTCATCACCGACTAATGCTTAAGCTGTGGAGACGGACAATTTTATTAGCTTAATTTATTCTGCTAACCATAGTTCAAGAGACAACTATAAAAAATGTAATTATTTTTTCGCCACACTAAACTGTTTGAATATACTTTCTACGCATGAAATTACTCCAGAAAACAGATGTTTGCCACCTGCTTAATCTAATTGGGTTTCATTACCCTACGTACTGGTACTAATGTGCTGTAATGAGTTTGTACTGGTCACCAGCTGATTATAATTGGCAATAAGTCAACAAATCAATAAACGAAAACATAACATCTCTTGAGTACTGATTGTTTAAGTCCTTTGGGAATATATAACAGATTTGAACAGTTTATTTTATTGTTAGTTAGTTTAGAGTATGGAAAAATAAAAAAATCTTACGTAACTCGTCCTAAATGTGTTTGCCGTACTAGTATTGTAATCCCGTACTCGACTTTGTCTCGCAGGAACAACTATACTCGTCCGGTAATCACATATTTTCCGGACTAGTAAAGTAATATACTATAACTGATTTCTTAGTGAGGAAATTTAATACTTTACTGAGGAGAAGAGATTGTAAACATTGAAGGATCCAATACAGATTGTGAGGGGTGTCAAAAACTGAATTCTAACTAGAAATTCATACCCAACGTTGTTCACCCATTTTGCCACAATCTCAAACACACTACCCATTCTGTATTTAGTTGATTAAAACTCTCTCACAATTCTGGAGGAGACGACGAACTCCTTGGTGGTGATACTCTGCACTATGTCGCTGTACATCTGACTGACTGTTCTGGTGTAGTTGATGCCGTGCTCTGGGTCCCAAGTTCCGATCTTCTTGAATCCCTCCTTCGCCAACTCTATGATCTCCAGACGGAAGAATATCCTGTGGCCTGTCTCCTTGTCAAATCTCATGGGACCAGTCATTCCTTCATACTCCATCTATGAAATTAGGTTAAGCGAGTTTTAATTTTTATGTAGTGTGTAGGTATTTTATAATTTATTAAAATTTGATTCTAAAACAAGGAGTTGCTTGTTTCAACGTTCCCAATCCAAAAATCAAAATTTATAACAAGTTGTATCTTTATAACAGTTTGAGATACTTCTCATACTAATTATCCTTTAGGAATTTTTCTTTTGTAAAAGTTATGTTCAGTTTTAGAACTAAACAATGAGTTAGTGCAATTAAGCAGCTGGATGGTGTGGAAAATACTCAAGGAAAAATTGTACATGGACTCAAAACAGATTCTTCTTAAGATAAAATTGTAACTTATAGCTTTTCTAGCAAAATATTAATTATAAAAAAAAATATTCAATCCATGCAAAAATTACTTAAGAGTAAGTATGCAAATAATATTCAAGGTAGATTTGAAAAGTCTTACCTAAACTTAAATACCCACATGTTTCATAAAGTTGATGATGCCGTGCCCATGAGCCCACTTGCGTCCAGAGTGGCAATCCAGAGGCTCCGGAATCACTCTTTCTCCGGACTTTTCAAGTGCAAGAGAGAAGAGCTTCACTGCGTCGTACATGAGTGCCGACTCTATCTGCCTTGTAACAAACAATACTGTATTGTTGACTTGATCAGGAATCAGGATACAAAATATTATTTATGGAATGTGGAGTAGTACATTGTATAGAAAATACTGAATTGGTAATCTACTGTTGTAATGGTAAGGTATAATTTGATCAAGGTATAAGGTATAGCAGCCTCGTTGTGGGCTGTTTGTGTGTGCTTCGTTGTGTGTTTCATTGCCTGTCAAAGTTGAAGTCTCTGAACTGCAGAATTCTCCCAATAAAATACAACTGAGGCAGATGTTTGCCCCTCACCATGGTAATAGTATATTACCTTACTAGTCCTGAAAATAAGTGTTTACCAGACGAGTGTGGTTGTTTCCGTGCGAGACGAAGTCAAGTACCGGTACGGGATTACTATACGAGTCCGGTACACACATTAGGGACAAGTTACGTACGATAGTTTACGCCATACTACTAAATCTGTACGAATCCTTATATATTACCACCAATTAAAGGACTAAAAATCACTAATCTTAACCTCTAAGAGAAGTTATGTTTTTGTTTATAACCACTCATTGCCACCCAAATACAGTATAATCAGCTGATTGGTGTCCGGTAAAAAACATTACAGTACAGTAGTACGCAGTGAAACCCCATTTGATTAAGCTGGCGACAAACAGCTGTTTTCTGGACTAAATCCTTTCTTGGGAAGTTCATCAAAATAGTGTAGTGTGGCGTAAAAGGGTTTCCCTTACCTCATTTCAGTGCAGTTCACGACACAATACGTGTCCAGACTAGGACTGACTGAGATAAAACATGTTGTCGGATTAAGGGTTCTTATATTAGCTGGCTTACGTCTCCTGGTCCCACCACCTTGGCTCTGAATACTGACAAATTGGCGCACTCCATAATCTTGGGATAGCCGACGTTGTCATTAGCCATGACCGATACAATGTAAATGTCAAAAAAGTGGCATGGCACTTCGATACAGTTTCGTTGTGTAGACGAAAAAACACACATTAGGCTCATTTTATAGGGGTTAGTCAAACAACAGATATGCACAGTCTTTTAAAACTGCTCACATGTTGTTACCTGTTATGTCCTCACTTTAAATCTTCAAGCAGTTTAGATGATTTTTTAGGATGTATCTACCTGTGACCATCTCAGTGATAATTATATCTGTTATATCATATTATGTTTGTACACACCCTGTCCACCCCCCCCCCCAAACCCCCCTGTCCGCCTGTCTAGTATTGAATGTTTGACACAGAAATCTGACCAAGGATCAAAAGAGTGAACTCTTTCTTACAAGCAGAATTTCTACTCATCACCTAATGTGTCTAATGGATAACTCATATATGCCCATGAGAGATGTTGGAGTTACAACATCATCCAATTTACTTATTACCTGTTTTATAAAATCATATGTTATATATCTAGTTTTGTTATGATAAAAAAGTAAATAAAAGTTATTATTGTGTGAGTGTTATTAAAGAATAGTTGATTCAATTTTAACAGATTATGAGACTCAATTAAGTGAGGAATATGGAAAGAAATATGAGTAATCACATTGAACTTTTGAACAGAAATAATTATGACACATGGAAAATGCAGATGGAAGCAATTTTAGTTAAAAATGATTTGCTTGGGTATGTGTTAGGAACCATTAAAAGGCCTCTAGAAGAAGGTGAAAGAATGACTGCTTGGCTAATCACTGATGCAAAGGCAAAGGCAGATATAATCCTCTCTATCAGCCCAAGCGAATTAAAGCAAGTGAAAGGATGTAACACTTCAGCAGAGATATGGGAAAAATTAAAAGGCATTTATGATTCCAGTGGACCAGCAAGGAAAGCCTTTTTGTTGAAGAAGCTAATTTTGGCAAAACTGACACCTGATTATGATGTCAGAGATTACATGAATATGTTTTTTGATGTAGTGGACAAATTAAAAGGAATGGAAATCGATATTAATGAGGATCTTTTGACAATTATTCTTTTGTATTCCCTGTCAGATGAATTTGAAAACTTTAGAATTGCTATTGAAACTAGAGATGCACTGCCTTCTCCTGAAACTTTAAAAATAAAAATTGTAGAAGAGTGGGAAGCGAGAAAAGAACATGGTAAGAAAGAGAGTAGTGAAGCCCTGCTAGGAAAATTTCAAAACAAAGTTAGATTTCAACCAGGAAGATTTTCAAAAGACTCTTATAGAAATAGAACGGAATCAGTTGATTTTCCGTTTCGATGCTTTATTTGTAAAGCGATCGGGCATAAAGCAAAATGTTGTCCCAAAGCAAATAAAGATCAACAAAACGTAGCGATTGCTAAACTAGAAGAAGTAGGACTTAATTCTTCTGTACAAGATGACAGTTATTTTGGAAACTTGTCAATGAAAGATATACAGTGGTGTTTGGACAGTGGATGCACTTCACATATGACTCATGTGAACAGTAAATTTACCAAGTACAAGCCTGCAAATGGAAGAAGTATATCTCTTGCCAACAATTCATCAACTGATGCAAGAGGGGTTGGAACAGTTAATATGACCATTTTAAATGGGAGTACAAATCTAAGCGTTAATTTGTATGACACTTTGTATGTACCAGAACTTCGAACAAACCTGATGTCTGTAGCTAAAATTACTGACCATGGGTATCAAGTTTTGTTTAAAAAAGATGCTGCTTTGATAATAGATCAGAATGGACAGACAAAGATCCATGCGAATAGGTTAAATGGACTTTATTACGTACAAGAGAGTAGTGAAGAAATGAATATAAGCTGTGAAAAATCAAGTCTATTGTCTTGGCACCAACATTTTGAACACTTGAACTTTAGAGACTTGAAAAGAATAATCAATTTAAATATGGTTAAAGGTATTAAAGTGAACACAAAAGAGCTTATTCCACAATGTGAGGTGTGTATTCAAGGAAAATTTACAAAAAGACCCTTTCCTAAAAGTGAAAGAACATCTGAAGTGTTGGACATTATTCACTCTGACATCTGTGGACCAATGAAAACTGAGTCACACGGAAAATCTCAATATTTCATTACTTTTATTGATGATAGCTCAAGATGGGTTGAAGTTTACTTTTTGAAGAAGAAAAGTGATGCATTAGATTCTTTCAAAAAGTACAAGAACAAAGTAGAAAATTTTACTGGAAGAAAAATTAAATATCTTCAAACAGACAATGGAGGAGAGTATGTTAACAGAGAGTTCGATGGATTTTTGAATTGTAATGGTATTCAGAGAAGATTAACATGTAGCGGAACGCCTCAACAAAACGGAGTGGCTGAACGGATGAATCGTACATTAAACGACATGGCAAGATGTTTGCTCATTGAAGCAAATCTTCCTCAAACGTTTTGGGCAGAGGCAGTTGCAACAGCAGCTCATGTTAGGAATAGATGCCCATCAGATGCAATTGATGGTGTATTACCATATCATAGACGGTATAGGAAAATTCCAAATGTTTCATATCTAAAAAAGTTTGGTTGTAAAGGTTTTATCCTAGACAAGACAAATGACAAGTTTCAATCAAGAGCAAAAGAAGGGATATTTGTTGGTTACTCAGATGTATCAAAGGGCTGGAGGATGTGGTTACCCGAAGATAGGAAAATCATTACAACTCGAGATGTAGTTTTTGACACATCTTCCTTTCCACATGTCGATGCAAATCATACTAATTCGAGCTTTAGGGTATTGCCTGTAGACAGTTTACTCCAAAGACATGAAAAGGTCGAAGAAAATCAAAGAAGTGTTCAAGTTGATCAACCAAAAGGTACTGATGAGAAAAATGTACTTGATGATAGGCAAACATCAACAAATGAAACTAAAGAACATATGTCAAATGAAATGGAAGAGATTGAACATGACGAGCCATATATGATTGATGGGGATAATAATGGAGATGATCATCAGAACAATGATATTAACTTGAAAGTAAGAAAATCTGAAAGAAAAACAAAAGGTGTTCCTCCTAACAGACTATCATTAATAGCTCAAGGAAATGTGATTGAACCAAAATCTTGGAAACAATTGGAGAAATTGTCTGAACCTGAGAAAAAACAATGGGTTGTAGCAGCTCAAGAAGAAATGGAAGCCTTATTAAAAATGATACATGGGAACTTGTAGATTTACCTCCACAGAAAACAGCAGTTGGATGTAAATGGATATTTAAAGCAAAGTATGGAGATGACGGTATGGTTGAGCGCTATAAGGCACGTTTAGTAGCCAAAGGTTACTCACAGAAATATGGAGAAGACTATGATGAAATATTTGCTCCTGTTGTTAACTCAACAACAGTAAGAATTTTACTAACCATAGCAGCGACAAAAGATCTGACTGTGCATCATTTTGATGTAAAAACAGCCTTTTTAAATGGAAAGTTAGAAGAAGAAATATATATGCAACAGGCCGAAGGTTTTGTGAAATCTGATAATGAAGATAAAGTTTATAAATTGAAGAAATCAATTTATGGGCTAAAACAAGCAGCTCGGGCCTGGAATGAAACACTGAATACAACAATGATGAGCATGGGATTTGAAAAAAGCAATTCTGACCCTTGTTTATATACGAGTAATACTGATGGAAATTATACATATGTAGTGGTTCATGTTGATGACATTTTGTGTGTTGGATCAATTGAAAATGTCAAGAAAACATTTCAAAAAACTGACACAATGCTTTGAAATGAAAGACTTAGGAGTTGTTCACAACTACTTAGGAGTTGAAATTGATAAGATGGATGGAGACTTTTACATTCACCAAAGAAGAAAAATAAATAAAGTCATAATTGAACATGGACTGGAAAACAGTAAACCAGCAAGAACACCAATGGAAGTTGGATTTATCAACTCAACAGCTATGTCACCAGATCTGCCGGGTCCGCGGAATTGGCTAACTCTGGAACTCGCTAACCCCATGTTAAACGCCCTATCTTCAAATTTGGTCGATGAGAGGAACTCGCTAACTTGTTCGGATTCGGAATTGGCTAACTCCGGAACCCGCTAACCCGCTCTAGAGCCGGGTTAGCGAATTCCGTCCTCGTACGGAAGTCGCTAACTCGGTCCCTCGGCGGAACTCACTAACTCCCAATCAGAAGCCTCGCGGGCCGTCCAATGGGAGCCAGGCACGAATATTTTTGGCCAGTGTTGCCAAAAGTGTAGTACCTATATCGTATCGGTACCATAATGTCGTATCCTACGATTAATTAGGAGTAAGAGCAACGTAGTCGATAAAATAAATATATTTAGAAGTATGTTTAACATTATTCTTATGATTATTAGGGTGGAAAATGCATTATAGTCTTACCATAGACTAACCAACACAAGTAAACTTTACATCCCATTGTAAACTTTGAAGCTCGTTTTTCGTGTCTAGTTCATGTCCGGTGACACTGATCGCTAGTGTCGACAAAATTGTGTTTATTTTATTTTATAGTCAACTTCATGATTTGTTCTTTGCTGTTTGGTTATATAACTTGGGGACGTGTTATTAGTTATGATTAGAACGTTTTATTTGGTTAAACGAGGTTTTAAATTACTGAAAACAAGAAACAATTGTAAACAAAACACGACCTCTAAAGACAGTGCACCGGACAGAACTAACAATAATACTGTCTTCAGCTGATCCATAAGGATGAGAAATGTACTAATATAAGGGAGTATGTTTTATATGTGGGTTTCTTACTTAAATAGTAGCTTATTGGTATGCAAAAAAATAAAAAAAAACGTTTTAAAAATGCACATTTAATTTGGATCTATTACATGTTATGAAATATCTATTTTCGTAGTCCGCCATTTGTTTCTTTTATTCGAATCCATTTTGTGAACTTCTGCAAATAAAATTATTGAGTTCGTATTTTATATACTGGGCTTGTAACCTTGAATCATAAATCATAATAAAATTTACACGCTAAACGTCATAACAGAATTACATTGTAGTGGTGATGTATTTTTAAATAGAGCTATTGAATTTAAATAAAATTTATCAATACATTATAAAGTGGTAGGCCTAATATATTCATGGATTGCATTAAAAATTAGTCTATGCATAAATACAACTTGTAAATTTCTTTTATCGTAGGCTATTAGTGTAGAACCCGGGTCATCCTCTTAATTTTGCTGAATTAGGCTAATATTAATTTTACGTCTTTCAGTAGGCCTACTTTTTAAAAGTCTGGAGTTTGTCTCCAGGCTGGTTCTAAATGGACCCAGGCGTTCTTGTTTGTTACAATTCTTATGAATGGTGGCCATAGCTAAAATTACTTGATCTTATCCAAAAACAAAGCTATTGTCTATTGTGTAGCTCAGTACCGGGGAACGGTGAACCGAGTAATGGCTTGGTATAGTTTATATCGATTGTGAAAGCAATATAAAGGAAACCCAACACTCAAATCAGGAAAATCCGTCAATTCGTTTATTAAGAATCGTGAATTAAAATAACCCTGTCACGTTTCATTATATGAATATTATATCTTCTCCTATTTTTTACTAGTGGTGCTTTGGTGTACAATCTAAAGACGGGTTTAAAACATGTAACATTATTGCTAAAAAATTAAACACATTTTAGAATTAGGCAACTATTTACTAGTAGGCCTACAATGCTTTGGTTCAAACTATTACTTAGGCTATATTAGTCTATGTCATCATATTTGTACACGTAAGTTGGACGGTTCAACGACGAACATTTAATTTTAAATCTATGAATTCGTTATGACAGTTACGATGGTTGATGACTGTATTAATTAATGGTTTTGGTTTATTACGACATTACGATTAAATCTGTTTTCCGTGTTTGAGAACTTTCGTGTATTTTAGCAATTTCGTAGAGGTTTAATTATTTAGTACCAATTAAACTGAATTTTCAATGTTTTTCATATTCAATTATTTTCTTTTATACTGATGGAATTTATATTTAAGATCGAAATCATAAGCATTTAACTGGCCATTGTACAGTTAAATAAAAAAAACACTTTTTCATTATTTTTTAATTGTCTTTGAATTACTTTGGTCTAGTTATCTGTTAAAAGTGGAATTGATAACAAAAAACAATAACATTTACTGTATCTTCATTGACACTGACATTTTGAAATAGGTAATGCATTGTACGATTATTTTGTCGTACAAGGTTGGCAACGCTCCGTGCAGTGGGCGCGGCCGGGTTAGCGACTTCCAGAGTTAGCGAATTCCGCCGCGAGACAAAATCGAGTTAGCGGGTTCCGGAGTTAGCCAATTCCTGACTGAGACGGTTAGCCAGTTCCAGAGTTAGCCAGTTCCGACACACGACCGAGTTAGCGAGTTCCTGAGTTAGCCAATTCCTACGTCTCGATCTGCCAGATAACAAAATGTACAGGAAGGCAATAGGATCACTTCTTTATCTTGCAGTGACATCAAGACCGGATATTTTGTCAGCTGTTGGAATTCTAGCTAGAAGAGTTGAAAAACCCACCCAAAGTGATTGGAATGCTGTAAAGCGAATAATAAGATATCTGAAAAGTACCATTGACAAGAAATTAAAATTAGGGGTGGAAAAAGAATTGAAATTGTCATGCTATGTAGATGCTGATTGGGGGGGTGATTTAGCAGATAGAAAATCAATCAGCGGAATGATGTACAAGTTAGGAAACAGCACTATAAACTGGATTAGCAAAAAACAGACCAATGTCACTCTTTCTTCAACAGAAGCTGAATTCATGGCCGCAAGCATAGCCACTCAAGAAGTAGTGTGGTTAAGACTATTGTTGAAAGATATGGGCTTCCCCCAAGAAAATCCTACAGTAATATTTGAAGACAATCAGAGCTGTATCAAGTTTATTGAAAATGAAAAGATAAGTGCTAGAATAAAACATTTAGATATTCGAAAACATTACGTCCGAGAAATGATAAGTAAGAACGAAGTATTTCTGGAATACTGTCCAAGTGAAAATAATCAAGCGGACCTTTTAACAAAGCCACTTCTAGGGCAAGTGTTTAAAAGATCACTCTTTTACCTAGGACTTTACTAGGCATGATGTTGAGAGGGTGTGTTGGAGTTACAACATCATCCAATTTACTTATTACCTGTTTTATAAAATCATATGTTATATATCTAGTTTTGTTATGATAAAAAAGTAAATAAAAGTTATTATTGTGTGAGTGTTATTAAAGAATAGTTGATTCAATTTTAAGAGATTCCACAAAAAAGATGTGGTAGCTCTATTTCTTAGCCATTGTAAAACTCATGTTACAAGTCTCCAAGTCCACATCCAGAGACATAAACTATTTTATTTCAGGTTCTGATCTTGAACTTGATTACTTTGTAAATGACACAGGGTGAATGTTAGTGAAAATGTCTATTTTAAACCTTGTTTGCTTTCATATAGAATTTTATAGATTGGATTTGGATATAATGGAATAATTAATAATTGAATACATGGATGGTGATAACATTGTGGATGAATGAAGGGTTGGATTTTTATTTTGGTAGCTTAACAAGTAGCCTACGTACCATGTGAGTTTCTCAGTGTTTCCATTACCTTAAGATCCGTTGCGGTAAAGTTGAAAGTCTGGTGTTTGCGGTGCGCCTCATACTCCCAATCATGTAGTGTTGCCAACACAGCAGGAGAAACCGGGTCTATCAGCCTCAGAGCTGTTATGTTGGTACGATCGTTCTTAAAGTCTCCATAGTCTATAGTATGGGCATCCTGGGAAAGTAAGTAAATACTGTATAGGTAATATTGAATAAACAGTTTATGTTTCAAACAAATTATAGAAATAATATGTTCTTTATAAAAACCTTTCAACAGAAGAGTGTGAGGCAAATAATCATTGTTATTGTCAAATAAGGTTCTTCTATGCTGCATCTAATATGATACTCTTAAAGTTGAAAACTGAACAGCTAGTCATCTCTTATTTCCAATTAAGGATATGAAACTCAAATGGTGGCTATCCAATTAAGAGACTATAGTGCTTGCCTTCAACTTCAAACATTGCTAGTTTGAGTGAGGATTAATCCAGGACCCAGGTAGCATTTTGCAGACATTTGAAAGTTCATTAATGATTTTTTAGCAGCAGGCCAATTCAGGACATTAGCAAACTATTATGTTATTTAGGTTGTTTCATTACAAAAATCGTTAAAAAAGACACTGGTATCTGCTCACGTATTTGACTCATATCTTACCAGAGAAGTTATGATAATGCTCAAGTATTCTCCCATCAGTTTCACTTCATTGGCTTGTGTCAAAATTGTCATGATTTTTTCTGTAGGACAATCCAAAACTATGTGTGACTCTCCAGCAGTTTTGATTTCCTTGAGCAAAGGCCTGCAAAATCATTTTGTATGAGTTGAATTAATTCTCATGCAAACCTCTAGAAACTTATGTAAAGAACATCCACAGACCCTTAGGTAACTAGAGAGGAAACACGAATCAAAACATTTTCCTGTCGGTTAAGGAGTTGGTTAGTTGTCGGCAAACTACAGTAGTCTGTTTGCACTATCCAAACCCACTTTTTTACCTAAATATATAGCTGGGTTTTTCCAGGCACGGAAGCTAAGAGTGGAACGTAGAGAGCAGAGTGCGGAGAAGCGATTTCAATGGCTTCTAGGGAAACCATGCCATTAAATTTACTAAGACAAGAGGAGCAACAGACTCCGCACACCGCGTTTCACATTTCACTTGCGTAATTAGGAAAACCTGTTTTAAAACTACAAATTATGTTTGGATGAAAAGAGCACTTGGGTTAGGAAAACATTAACTAACTAACCTTAAAAAGGAGTTCCAGGCAGTTTGTAGCTATCAAAAATTTCACCACAGCTACTTTAAGCACACCATATTACTTCCTTCAAGTTCTGAAGAAGCTCTTTTGAATGGGGGAAGCTTCAAATTAACTGTGGCTGTGAAATTTGTGTGTGCTATCAACTGCCTTGGACTCTTTTCTTGAGTACGATAGCTGTGTACCCATTGCTTTTCCCTTAATGTTTTCAAACTAGTATAGGCAAACTCTAACCACGAATACCGTGAAAAAGATTAATCACTTCATAAAATTGCAGCGGTGGAAATGCAATTTTTATCTCCCAATGAAAGGGAAAATCGTTGGGACAATCATTAATTATGTTAAAGAAGCTCCCATCTGACCATTGATGTTCACAAATGTGATTGACCAGGGTCCTTGGCCTCGTTCATATGAGGATGAAAATGTGATTAATATGTTTGAAGCATTTTAAACAAATTTCTTATATCTTCCTGTGGTGTTGATGAATCAACACATAGAACCATAGTTTAGGAACTTATGCTGCAAATAAAAAACCTACATATCAACACCTGAACACCTGAATGTTTGGAGCAACCAGCCAGATTTAGGGTGTATCAGGTTGGAGTCGGAACTAGGAATAGGATTTCATCTCTTGGCTGTACTTACAAACCTCAAAATATGTTCATAGAAGACATATAGGTTAGTAGGTTGGTACAAGTTCAAAAGAGTAAGGTGTAGTAAAAGTGCCAGTTTAACACACGATTTGATTTTTCATTGTTTGTTTATCTGCCCTTCTTTATCTGAGTTTCTTGATGGGTAATTTTGTAAGGAATTTTAGAATCCACTCAGTTGAAGAATTGTAGTTACCCTACCTGTAATCATCATCCTCTGTCGGTAGTGGTCTGACTGTGAATGGAGGATATCCCTCCAAGTGAGAAAGACCTTCGTGAGCTTTAAAAACTTCCTGAAGTCGAATAAGACTGTCGTAGTCCTCGTAGAGAATCGTGTAAGACTTCCAGTCCATGTCTTGAATAGCGTTGATCAAAGCCTTTACAAAATTGCTCAGTAAAAATCGTATCTGTATTTAGTACTAAATTATTTAATTCTGTCAACCCCATGGACTATTTTAGTAATTTGATAAGGATCGTTTTATAATGTTATTCCTAATCTCATGAACTCAAAATTCTAAATGATTGAAAAAGTCTGTTGGTGAACACCCATACAGGATAAGCAAAATGCTAATTTGAGGTACAATTAAAGCGTTCACCCATCCCATAAACTACCACCCACGTCCACCTTCTATTTTAGATGGACCTCTTCCACCACAGTCTGCTACGGAGAGCAGAATTTCTTATGGAGTTGCACTCTTGCACACCAGACTTGACTGAAAAATATTTGAACTCTTGATCTACATTGCTGTATACTTGCTGGGGAATTTAGCCTGCTACGCCTTAGACTTCTTCTCGGCCATTGATCAAATCTAACTGTTTACTAAACTATCTACGATGGTCAACGAAAACCAAGCACAGTTGTGGCAAGTTTCAGGTATAGGACTGGAATCTACCTCCATTATTCATTTTTTTAATATGTACTGTCAGCTCACCTTGAAAGCTGTTTGATATTCGTTAATTGCACAATCCATGCCTTTTTATTTTTTGAGGCTGATCGTCAGTAAAATAAAGAAAAATCCAAACAAACTGTGTATGATCTAAAGGAATAATTCTTCATTGAGAGAAACATTATGTATTCTCTTACACAAATTATTTGCATCTTTCATGTATTGAAAAATGTTCACATGGGTACTTACCATCGCCAACAGCTTGGAGTCAGGGTAGAGATTGATGACGCAGCCAGCAGGTTTGTTAGATATGTCCCACCGTAAGTCAATGTGAGGGATCTCCATATTGTCACAGATAGACCTGACTATACCAGTGGTGCCAACAGACTGAGGACCAAAGATCGCTCCGACCCCTTCCTCCAGCAGGCTGCACACTGGGACAGAAAAACACCAAATACTAATTTGTCTGTACATTCCTCACAACACAAAAGGAAAGTAAATAAAATAAACGTCTTATAACACTTGAAATTACAACACAAAAGGATCTAAAAATATAAGTTGAGTTATCTGCCAATATTTTAAAGAGCCGCTTTCTTCAAAAGCGTTTAATTGCGATTCTGTCATTTTAAAATGCCGCTGTTGTAATCACAAAATATATAAGAATATGTGGTTCTCTAACATTACAGTACAAGACATTTACAAACCCTTGGTATTAGATTATAGAAACAAAAGTAAACTGTACCACTTAGCTTTAAGACATTTTTTTGTTAAGTTCAGACTTCATTACATATTATATTGTCTGAACTCTGAGAGGTTACAACGCTTTTAAATCATATATTTACTGGTTTAATTCTAAACAGGGGTACTTGTGGACCCTGACACCATATATAGTTATTTAATAACAAGGCTATAAAGTAAAAAGACCAGTGTTTGGACCATTCCCTAACAAAAAGTGGTAGAATTTAGGTTAAATGGTGTAGAAACACACACAAAAATCTTCTTGTGACTTACACATATTGGTTCTTATTTTTCCTTGCTAATAAATAAATCTTATTTAATAACTGTTTTGACATTTAGTAAAATATATTTTTTACTATTAAAATTAAATAACTTCTTGATCAGCATCGTAAGTATTATTAAATTATCTGAAAGCACAAACAATACCTCAAATAACACTTATAATAATATATTTACACTTATACTGTTGACTCACAAGACGGTAAATACATATAAAAGATAGTAAGTGGTGATTGGTTTTAATTCCAATCTAAATTAATCACCACTTATGATCTTTTATACTTATTTACTGTCTTGTGAGTAAACAGTATAAGTGTAAATATATTATTAAGTGTTATTTGACATATTTTTTGTGTTTTCAGGTAATTAAAAATTAGTGTTTTAGCAATAGTTTAGAACTATGACAATCAATACATTTCTGGACATCCCTAAAGTCAACATACATAGTAAAATCTAAAAGCACACATAAAGCAAAACTTGTTTTATTTCACTCATGGATTTCATCGCTACCTGAAAGTTAGTAGTGTTTACTCAACTCCTTGTTATCACATAACTTAGGCTGTAAAGTGCCGTCAGTTAGACAAGTATTTGGAGGAGTTTGACACTTAAGCGCTCCGTGCAGGCATGTCTGGGACTTTGTACTTGGTACTTCTCACTGATATGACAGGAGAGAAGTTCCCTCCGTCAAGTGCAACTCTGGAGAGTTCAGTTTGTACTTAATTTTTTAGAACTTTTTTTGTTGTTGTGGGATGAATTTTTGATTTTCAAGGATGAATGTAAATTGGGTTCAAACTTAGTTTGTCCTGTGTTTTGAGAATTAAAATGTAACTTTTACTCTGTAAAACATACAAGTAAGTATATTTATACATTATACTTAAGGGAATAAACTGTTTATTTATCAAATACAATTCTGGAGAAAAAAGTGTTTACTCAATTTTTATTTAATTTTCTTTACATCTTATTGGGTTTAAATGTTTCCATTTTGTATTTTAAGACATTTAAATATGTTTGGATTAGACTTTTAAAGTTGTACAAAACAATAGTATTTTTACACACTAACTATTCAAAACGTAAAAACTCACAATTGATAATTATGACTTTTGAGAGTGGTAAATGGACTTCTAGTGTAATTGTAATGACATAGATAGTTTTTACTAACCACACAAATTAATATTCATCCAGCATACAAAATTTAATTTTTAATCTGTGTAATATTTAACAGTAAACTAACCTACAACCTTTTGTTTTAGACAACATACCAAAATACATTGCACAAAAGCCTGTGTTTCTTGTTTTACTAAATAGAACAACTGCTTTCAAGGGAATCATTTGATATTTTAAATGGTTAAAACGAGCAATTAAAGTTTATTTATATGTCTTTACGGCATCTTTTATTTACCTCTTACTGCGTTTCTAAGACTAATTGCTATTTCTTGTTTAATTAAACAGCATTATATCAACTGACAAGTAGCCTATTTCCATTTAGAATTGAAAATTTGGAAATATTTATTAATGTATTGCCAATTTACATATTTATTTAAAATGCAATGTGATAATTCCCATTCCCAGCGATAAAAAAGTTTATAAGTGTGAGTTTCTACGTATTAGGTCCCTATTTAGTAGTTGGATACACTTTTTCAATTTGAAATTTGCATTATATAACTTGGTACCCCCTCTGTAGCAAACCTGTTGACTAAGCTCGAATTTTCATTTTCCTAATAATTATATATAGATAATAACATAATATATAAATTTTCAAATTATATATAAATAATAAAAGTATATACTGTATATTCACTATTTATTTAAAATATCAGATTTATTCCCTAATATTAAACAATATTATTTTTTATGAGTACATAGATTTGCTGCTACAGGGAAGGTGCCAAAAGGTGTTTTTATTGCAATGCTATATAACCTTAGAAAAAATTAAATTGCCAAATTATATTAAAATATTCATAAACGACTTTAGTTTTCCTCACAACCATCACAAGAACAAAAACTCTTAAATATATAAATATATGAAAATCATTTGCTTTTGAACTCTTAAAAAATTGTTTTGAAAGAAACTGCAAAAATGTTAATTTTATAACAGTGGGAAACACCAATTTCTACCCCATTAACCCCAGGCCCCACTAGAGTGATTGCATATAAATGCAACAGACACTGTAATTTACATTGAATTGTCTTGTCAGTTCGGTGTGATTAAAAAGTTCGGTGTACCCTGAAATTTATATAAGCACAATCTGTTGGTGGTTCTATTCGACTATTTTAATTTTTGTTCTAAAACTAACTACAACCATAGATTTAACATAGGTACTCATGGGCAACCATAAAAATTGGCAAGAAGGAGGGGGACCGAGCCCCACCCCCCATAAGATCCTACACCAAATGTTTATAGATTTTTTAAATTATGGATAAAAATTAGTGGGTCTTAACATAGACTAACCAACACTAGTGGACTTCTCATCCCATTGTAAATTGTGTAGCTTATTTGATATTTTCCGTGTCTAGTTCATGTTGATGACACTGATCGCTAGTGTATACGATTAAAAAAAATTATTTTAGGGTAAATTTAATGATTTGTGCTTTAAGCTGGGTTTTCCTAGACGCGGAGTCGGCCAGCGGAGAGCGGACAACGGAGAGCGGAATTGAAATTAACATGGCATTCCGCTCCGCTGCTAGGAAAACAGTAACATTAAATTACCTAAGACCAGCTGAGTCCGCTCTCCGCGTTCCTCTCTCCGCTGGCCGACTACGCGCCTAGGAAAACCCGGCTTTACCATTTGGTTATAACTAGGGGGCGAGATATTGTTTGTGCTTAAATCCTTTTGTTTGGCTAAACAAGATTTTAAATGACTAAAATAACAAGAAACTAATTGTAAACAAAACACAACCCCTACAGTGCTCAGACGGAACTTACAATAAAATTGTCTTCACCTGATCCATAAGGATGAGAAATCTACTATGGGAGTATATTTGATGTATGTTTCAAAAAACACAAAGCAAAATTTTTTAATCAATCTTTTTGTACTTTTAGCATATCCGTAGCATCTCAACCATAATTCAAGCACCTCCGTGGGAGGACCTCCAAATTCCCCCATTTTTACTTGGGGTTATTCCTTACCCTCCAGTATCCTAGCCCCCCTTATGGAACAGATGAATGCAAATGAACACACCCTAGCCTATTTTACAATCTTATGGAAATGGTACATCTGATTCTTTTAATAGCCAAAGTTACAGCATAAAGCTTACCTCGTTTGCTGGTGTTGAAGCTATCAAAGTGTGAAAAATACTCGACTCGTGGCACAAGAGTTGTGTGGGGAATTACTCTACTGTCCATGTTGACTGCCTCGATGGCGCTGTGGAACGCAAACTCCTGCTGATTCTGCTCAGGGTGGAAAAGCCCCACTGAAACATCATAAAGTTAAGTTATTTTGATGCAAAAAAAGATTTCGAAGAGCAACAATAATATTATTTTCCTACCATTGCATGGAAATGATCACATAGCCGTGTGTACACAGTACACAAAATAGCTCATTTCCACTTTATTCGTTTCCGCGTAGGAAATGGCTTTTTACAATTTGATCAGTTTTTTGATCAGAATTGTCTATATGTATTAACTAAATAAATCAAAATGCACACAACAACCGTACTGTGCTCCGTTTACAAAGATTTAGGTGGTTTTAGGGGAAGAAATCTATCTCCTCCTCTTTACCCTTAGAGTAGGGCCTAGGTACTAAATGTGTGAACCAAACAATTATATATTATTTTTTATAATAATCAAAAACAATTTAAAACTAAAGTACAAACAAACTGGATTACAAATACAATACTTCACAAAGTGAACAATGTAATGCACTAACATACTGTGTTACAAACTAAACTGTTATATAAAATAACCAGTTATAATTATCAGTTTCCACATTGAAAACCTAATCTTAAATAGCTTCACAATCATGTAGAACAATATATTTTAACCAAAACCAAACCGAATAGTTAAATAATTTAGTTTATATTTCCCGATGAGGTTTGTGGGCGAACTAATGTTTATCCCACCCACATGGTAATGAATGTTTTGACAAAACCACAAACTTTAAATTCATCCCACCTGCTTTGATGTCTGGTGCAATGGGTTCTGGTTATGCTTAGTGACCCAAAACGCAGTTACTATGAAAATGTAGGACACATTGCAAGTTACATTTGTGCTGTAGAATACAGATGAACATTAAAATGTGAACTTAAGCGATTGCAATAAAAGAATAAATGTTGTATTGTAGGAGTCAATTAGTTTTGTAATATTTTTCTTTGAAAATGTGATGATTTTATTTAATTTGTATTTATAATTTCAATAAACAGGAGAGTATTTGATTGGGTGTACATATTTTAATTATTTAACACTTTTTCGTTTGATGATTTTTAAACTCTTTCACAGAAACTAGAATCATATTTTTTATCTTAGGTCAACATTTAAAACATTTAAAAAGTTTTAATTTTTTTGTAAATCCATTATAGTTTTTTAGCAAATCCTTTCTCATGGAGTAGTCCTATAGACTGTTTTAAGTTGAGAAATGCTTGGTTTCATGGATACAAAAGACAAAGTAGTATCAGACAGACTACTTTATCAAGTTTGACTAGAAATTGGCATTGTTTCTAACTATTGAGTATTGAACATTGACAACAGCTTTGATCAACTCTTGTATGTTTCTGGTTTCTATAATCAGTGTTATAGGACAAAAGAAATGTTAGATTTATTCTTCTAGGACATCAAATTATTCCCTTTGTGAAACATGCAATTCTTCATGTGTTGGGAGAGATATTTTATCAATTGATTTAAATATAATTTTAAATAGTTGTAAATGAACAAGTTAAAAAAATATATATTTCAACCAAGTACTCAACCTTACGATGTACTAGAATTCACACCTAAAAACTTTAAATTAATTTGATGCAATAAAGGTAAAATACCTCCATACAAATACCAGATACAAAATATATACAGTACGTATATAAAATTAACAAATATCATAATTATATTTTTATTTTGTTTCTCATGTAAAATAATACCTCAATATGTAATTCAGATTATATTACTTTTTCATTAACATAACCTATCTTAAATAATGTCTCCCAATAAACAATTAGACAATTTCTTACAATATAATATTTATTTAATCATGAGTCTAAACTATAATTAGACAAAACCGTCTGCACAAGTTTGTTTCTGTGTGTGTGATTTATTTGGAAAAAACTTGTATATAATATTCTTTATTTATTAACTACAACTATGATAAGTATTTGGATAGTTAGATAATAACAAAACCAAAGTTGGCAAAGTTTGAACGAATCCCAGAAATGTATACAGCCACTTAAATGAATTCACGTAGACAAATATTTATTTAGAGAAGTGAGTAAGAGTTATTGTAACATTGTGAGTTCAGCATTGACTATACAGTGTGTAAATTAAGTCTTCAAACAAATCAGTATTTTTTAAACTGAAATAGATAGAAATATTCTGTTTGTGGTGTTGATTTTTTACAAAGGTTCCGTAATGTTTTACATCAAAAATATTTTTTAACCCCCCTAACAGGGTAGGAGGTAGGGGGTGACTTAATTTTTTCAAATGGCAACCTCTATTGAGTGACCCCTTATTTTGAAGGATTTGTCAAAAGAAACACAATGACGCAAACCCGTGGTAGATATCTCACCTCTAGCCAAAATGGCAGGTATTCAAAAATTTGATTTGCTGTATGTGAAAACGCACCAATTTCACAAATATGGTAACAAATCTGTAGTTTTTTTGGCCCAAATAGGTAGAAATATTCTGTTTGTGGAATTGATTTTTAACAGGGTAGGGGCGAGGGTGATTTATTTTTTTAATAACAACTCGTTTTGAAAGGTTTGTCAAAAGAAATACAACTAAGCAAATCCGAGGTAGATATTTCATCGCTTAAATGGCGGGTATTCCAAAATAAAGCACCCATTTTGGAATACCCACCATTTTTGCTAGGGGTGAGATATTCACCTCTGCGTCATTGTGTTTCTTTTGACAAGCCCTACAAAATGAGGGGTCACTCAATAGGGGTTGTTATTTGAAAAAAAGTCATCCCCTAGCTCCTACCCTGTTAGGGGGGGTTAAACAATTTGTTTGGTGTAAAAACTGTGGAGCCTTTGTTAAGAATCAATGCTACAAACAGAATATTTCTATCTATTTCGGTTTTTAAAAATACAGATTTGTTTCAAGACTTAATTTACACACTGTATAAACACCTAAAACATAGCTAACAAATTACAAACAATCAAAGCTTGTCCAGAGTTGATATAACAGAGACAAGTTCAGGTTTAGTTGTGTTTCAGTATTTTATCAGCTGTTTAAACACCAGTCAGAGAGGTTTTCATGTGTTTGTTCAATCACAATACAAACCGACTGGCGAAGTGTAATATTTCTGACAAGCCAAATAAATCTTTATGACAGATTACACAGTTTTCATGTACTTTCTATTATTCCATGAGTATTGTCATTGACAAAGGTATTATTTTATGTTTTTTCGTTATTTTTTTAAACATATTAGTAGATAGTATTTTTCATGTTAAATGTGAAACAAATATTTGAATACAGGAAATTATTTTACAGTTTTGAAGCTGATTATTTAAGCAATACAAACAATGCATTAAATTTAAATATTCCATAGTATAAAATATTTAATATTAAACTTATAAAGGTAGAAGGTAAAAAATAGTTAATATTTGGCAACATAAGTACAAAACTAAAGAGTTTACAGTCTTTACTAAACAAAAATAGTGTATCATGACAGCATTTGTCTTTTAATAAAACCTTGTCAAATTTTATGCTCATATTAAACTCAAAGTTTTAAGAGACTACGATAATATTGCATGTTAAATAATTTCTTGGGACACCCCACATACTTTTTTTTCTCGGCTGAACGAATCCATATTTCTGTATTATGTGGAATTATAATTTGTTGGGACCTTGCATAAAAATTAGAAAATATATTGTCTTTGACTAACTTATATTTGTATTTTGTTTTCAATAATGAATTGTAATTTTCTTTCCTGTAATATTTTATTCCAATCACCAAACTACTAATAAAGGATATCAATTAGGCCTAATGATGATGTACAACAAAAGGATGATGACATGTAGGGTAGAAACTAGGCCAGAAATTGCCCCTTTACAACAGAAAAAACATTGTAAATACCAACTGTATAAAAAAATAACAAGAAATGCTGTATACATTTTACAAATCAAATAAACTATGGTTCTATGAGTTAATAAATTTATAGAATATCTATGAATCATATTTGATAAGAAACTGATGCAAAACCACCAAATGATGACAACACAAGCTGCTGCTCACACCCCTACAATCATCAGTTGCAAAGTGTTGTCATCCCGTTATAATCCAGAGCTATGAATGTAAAGAGGGTTAAAGTAGGGTTAATAAGTCCCCACCCCCCTATTATGGCGTTCCACATCAACAGATGAAGTAGCAATGTTGCACAGCTCTAATGTGTTTAACATAATTTGTTAACTTCGTTTTAGCGAATTTCCCATATCGGTAATAAGCTATTACAGTAGGTCTTACGATAAGAGCTAGCCCCGGGACTAGTTTACTTTTTCGTTCTGATATCTCCAGAGGCCAAAAATATCATACTTCGAATTCACATTAAAAAATGCATTAATATGTGACGTTAGCAAGATAACTCAGATTTTTATCAAAATTCGGTTAAAATTTGTGTGGTGGATCTCTTTATTGGAGGAGTTCGCAAAACAGCATGATCATAATATGGAACCAGGGTTTTATGGGTTAAAAATAGGTTATGTTTTTTTACTCACTTTTGACCTCGTAAATACCTATAAAATGTTGCAGTTTCTTTCCAAACCGTTATGATCAGCTTATGAGTTATTAATACAACAATTTCATATTTCGAAGAGTGTTTGTACATACTAAAGGTTAAGGAGAAATAACAAAAACACTATTGCAAAACTATAAATGTTAAAGTAAATGTATAATGTCAATATCATGGAAAATAAGTAATCTGTTGTGGTTTACTTGTTTATGGATATATTTTTAATTTTGATCACATTTTGGTAAATGTATTTATTTCATACAAAGCTACATTTAACAATAGTTCTGACATACTGATTTAAATAAAAAAACATACTTAATAACATTCCCTGTAGCAGCAAACCTCAGTACTCACTACTAATTATATTTGAATAGGGAATAAATATAAAATATCTTACATTGGAATATTTAAGGGGAAATCTGATCAAGCAAATTATAATTAGTCAGCAGGCTTGCTGCTGCAGGGGCATTTTCTTTATATTTTTTTACGAAAATCAACGTTTTAAGAAGATTTTGGTTGACATCCACCCAGTTTAAGGTTAAGTTAGAAGAAGAAAATTGACTAGTGATGAATTTCCTGAAAGTCCTTTTATCTTCATTATCAACAAATGTGAATTCGTTTAGTCAGAAGGTTTGCTGTGGCAGGGGCATTTTCTTCACATTTTCCCAAGCTGTCAATAGAGAAACTCCTCATGAGCTGCTTGCCAGATCTGACCAAGACAGGATCTAAGCCTGTATGATAATCTATGGAACTATCTATCTATTTATGATCTATGATGTCTCCTAGCTGGAGTGACAGCTTCGATATTGTTATGAACTAACTGTCAACCACAAACAATACCACTGCCGCAGCAAACCTGCAGACTGAGCAAATTCCCATTTACTTGATTTGTAAAATTTTTCCAAACACGTCAGATTTATTGCCTATTTAAATTATATTAGGTTTGACGAGTTAGGTTTGCTGCTACAGTGAGGGTTATAATGTGTATGTTTTTGTAAAATATTAATACCATAGTATAAAATTAATTTATTTTCCAAGTTTGATCAAAATGTATCCATAAACAAGCAAACTACAACAGTTTACTTATTCTTCATAAAAAAGAACATGGAAATTTTATATATACAAGTTTTTGAATTTTCTCTGTTACCAATCAATATCTGTAAAAACTCTTCAAGATACGCTGCTATACTTCGTTCACAATATTGAGGTGGTTTGAGGGAAGTTTCCCCTCCATTTTTTTGTATTTAATTTATGTAGCTTAATCAGCTGTTGAGCTATTATTTTAAAGATGAGGAGGAGGGGATAGATTTCTTTCCATAAAACCACCTAAATATTGTGAACGAAGTATACTAGGTACTTATAATAAAGAAGTTCTCTGTTACATCTCTTTCGCAGTCGTTACTTAGATAATTCAACCATTATATTCTTGGTAAACAAATATGAATACAGTACTTGCTAAAATATGTTTGACAAGAAGAATAAAACCTATAATTTCCAATAAATAAATGTTGTTTCTAGGGAGAGGTTAAATACGTTTCATCTTCAACTCACTTACACTGCTTAGGAATAATTTGAGAGTACTTCTCATAATAATATCGTGTAATTCCTACAGGCAAGGCAAATCCCACCAAAGGGTCGTCGTAAGTAGTTGTAATACCCACTTAATCTGTTGATTGGTTCCCTATACTGAAACCTAACATCAAAAAGCAAATTTATACTAAGGATACAACGCCAGTTTCTAGATTACCAGTAAAATGAATCTATGTATTATGTTTGTTGTGTTTTTACTTAGATTATAGTTGTTTCTGTTTGTGTTGTGAGTACAAAAAATAGTCCTTTAAATGAAATCGTCAGGGTTAGTATTTTTATATTTTTTAGGAGTTAAAGAAGGTATGTAGAGTTTTGGAGTTACAAACATTATTAAGTTTTTTTTTTTTTTTTTTTTTTTAAGGAAAAGATGAACTCGTTAGTGAGTTTAAAGTTACACAAGATACATATTTTTGGAGTTCAAAGGTTACATAGTTTTGAATCTTCTCCCTTAAAACCAAAATTGGAACCTAAACTTATTATAATAAACACTACTATTTCAGAATAACCTAAACTAAACAATACAAGTTAAACATTTTTGCATGATGCCATTTAGACAAAGGTATTGCTTACTATCAAGAATCTTCCACTTAAGTTAAAATATCGAACTTTCTTTTCAGAAAATTAATGTAGTAGAAGATTTAAGAACAAAAAAATATTCCATGAATTTCTAATACATTATTTATAATAAAAAACAAAATAGTTTTTTTTTTGTTTTTTTAACTGTCATTTTTTATTTGTTTTAAGTTAAAGTAGTTTTAACATTATTCTGTATTCCAAAATAGAAAAAAGACGTAAAAATTGCAAATGTAAAACAAATTAATGAAATGATCATCCTTAAAATACAATACAGATTCCAATAAGAACGGGACATCTAATTTAAAACGGCGGGAATGGGAAGTGGGGCGGACGTAACCAAAATATTGGTCTGTTTGCGTACGTAATCAGGGAGTCGAGTCCACTACATAAAAATAGAAATTGAGTCGCTCTTGAACACTTCTGTAAACAAACTGATTCGCGGTCTTTTCCTGCTGTAAAATGTTCATGAAATAATGTTATGATGTTAACGTGGTATGTTGTAAAATAGCATCAACGATAGACAAAGATAATTGTTTGAAACTAAAATACAAAAATATAAAAACACACAATGTTACAGTGTCCGTACCGCTTGTACATCATAATCATTGACTCAAAAGGGTAAATAATAAACAAACTTATTGGTGAACTTTTTCTGCTGTAAAATTTCCACGAACACTAAAAAATAACAGTGATGAACATGTTATGTTGTAAAAGTAACATCAATCTCAAACATAAAATCAAACACAAACACGTTTAGTTTTACTTGTACTTTCGTACTTAACAACGGATTATGATCACAGTTTGAAGCTACAATGATAAAAACAGTTACAATGTCTGCACCGATGTGAAATTTAAAGACTCTAAGCGAATTTCCCTGTGTAGCTGATACTGTTAGGTGGTACGGCAACAGCTAGACCTCAGACCGATTTACTTTTTAATTTTTGTGTCCCCAGAGCCCAAAAAGGTTATTCAAATGTTTATATATGTGTGTCCGTGAACGCGATAGCTTGAGTAATTTTGGCCCGATTGATGAAATTTGGCTTAAAGGTGTAGGGCGGGATAAACTTGAATGAGTTCGCGAACCAGCAGGATCGGGTCATGGGAATGAAGTATTTTGGGGTGTTTGAAGTTTTAAAACAATTGGAATTTTCCTATTTTTTTCTCTTAAAATATGGAAATCATCAATTTTTATTCCCGCTTAAAAACAAATAATTTTGGTTGTGTTGTTGCACAATTAAATGTTGTGTTGGTACATTTCCCATGTTATTCTTATAGATAAAAAGAAATCTTTACTTGCTTATGGATGTATGTTGATTAAATTTATTTATTTAATTGTATACTATTATCATTTGGTAAAAGAAAAACACTTTTTTCCTTCCCCGCAGTGAAAAATCTAAGCACTCATTATATCTAATGTTATTTAAATGTGAACTAAATAACGTATGTCTTATATGGAAATATTTTAGTAAAAATCCGTTTAGACAAATTGAAATTCGTTCAGTCTGTACTCTGAAGGTTTGATGTGGTGGGGGTATTTTATGTGTTTCATGTTGGTGATAGAGGTCACAATGTGGACAAAATGGGGTTTTAGATTGTAGGGAAGGTTTTAAGATTCTCTTGTAACTTGTAAATATAATTTGTGTGTCTAAGTAGTGGCTTTTTCAATGAATTATTCACACAACGCTTTCCAGAGCTTAATAACACCAAAGGGCAGGCAGTTACTCACACTTAGATCGCTTTGTTCGGTCAATAGTCTACTTAGCTTCAAAATTTGTTATAATAACTATCAAATACAACAAATAATACGCTCTTTACATTAACCGGATTTAATTAACCTTAAAATTGTCTTAAGCTGAGCTAAAAAGGGTGCTAAATCTATTAGGGTGTTTGGATAATCCATGAAATTGGTTATAATACGCTATCAAATTGTTTTTTTGTAGCTTAGGTAAACAAATATTTCGACAATATCTAAATGCAATGTTACGTTGTTCCAACTATAAATTATTTAGTTAAATAATCAGAATGGAAAATAAGACTTTTATAGTTATATGGTCATAAGAATATTGAATTGATCACTAACTTCTCGACCATGCAAAAGTAATGCGATCAGCTTGTACGATAAAATTGTTTAATTTATATACGCGAATCAATTAATCAACAGAAAATAGACACACTAGTGAATTCTGTGATAGCTATGTCCACTTATTTTGTCCATAACTGTACAATTAATGCCCATAGCTCTTACTCTTCATATTTTGGATAATTAGGGCTATTTTCTTTGCCAATACAGTACAGAAAAATAAGTTTTACAAGTGCTTTGCACTTGTAAGTTATTTGCGAATGACTTATTTGGCCCATTGAAGAATGAAGTCTCAGTAAAAATCATCATGGTCAACACTTACCAAACGTAACACAGTTTCTCTTTTTTGTTGTTTCCAGTAGAAAAATAAACCTACTTGGAAAAACTAACATGAACTTTGAACTTTTTTACAAGTGTCCATGTCAAATTTGATAGCAATGAGAAATGTAAACAATGCCAGGTGTGCTATTGTAGTATTTTTGTAAGTACGTAAGTATCATGTTGATGTGTTTTGTAATCAATATGTACTTCATACGGAGAAATATAAATGTATAAATCCACACATCTGCCTTAGCATACATGTGTGGCTTCCCAAACCAAAACTACTTACTCTCAAACCATCCAAACAAAACCTTTGAAATACCAGTGTCCTGGAAAAATACACTTGAGGTACTTACCGATTGTGAAGTTGAAGAAGTCCCTTCGGTGGGAGTTCCCTCGTTGCTTGGCCACGACGGCGAGCCCTAGGGCCAGCAAGGCGAGGGCGAGCACCCAGGCCCGCACCATGATGACTGACGGCCCGTGGAAGTCGGCGGTTTAGCGACTAGAGAGCAGGGAGTCGAGACAGAAGCTAAGTTTAGCCTGGGCATCGCGCCAGCTCACATGACGTAGCGTTGTATGTTCAGGTCTGTTGATTTACTTGGAAACAGTGGAATCTCCGATTGTTTAATTATACGTATTTTTTGCTGCAAAATTATTTTTTCTCAAATTGATGTAATACAGTTGTTGAGTAAAAATTATGCCGTAGGATGTTTATGATTGTGACGATATTGTAATGTTAATGCTTATAATATGGTAGTTTGTATAAAAAGTTAAATTAATTTAATATTTCAATTGTTTTTAATCACATCTTTGGCTTGCCATATTGGTTACAGGCATGACAACGAAAATGGATAATGTGAAGATAATTATTTGTAAAAACTTATAAACAGCTTAATACTCCAACAGTATACCATTTCATAGATAAAGATACGCCAGAGACAAGAGAATAAGTAAATATTCCCATGTATGTGGCAACACATGGATAATTTAAGAACATATAAAAGAATACCAATGGAAAGCTTGTCCCCAGATACATATATTGTTCTTTTTGCAAATTAAAACCCGGGTTTTTTTAAATTAAACTTCATTGATAATGGCAAGTATCCTCAAAGATAAATTAAATGAACATATCAATTTGTTACTCGAGTTCCGATTTTGATGTAGTTGTGTACAAAAGTGTAAACCTACATGCCAGCATGATTGGACTATGAGAACGGGGTTTTGTGGAGTAAAAATTAGGTTTAACTATTTTTAGTCTCAAAATATAAACTTTCGAAGTAAAATGTAAAAAAAAAAAATTCAGTACCGGTATATGAAGCGTCGTTGTAGGTGCGTCTAATGGGTACAGAGAAAAGTATAAGAAAACTATACTAATTAAATAAAATCTAAAATTACAATTTTTAATTTAAATTAATTAACTATATCAATTAAATTTAAGAATGGGTAAACTGTTGTTGTTTTTTTGTTTGTTTTTATATATTTGGATACAATTTGACAAATATATTGATATATTTCAGTGGATATCCGATCAGGCAAATGAAAATCGCTTAGTAATCAGGTTTGCTGCGACAGGGGTATTATTTTAATTTCATGTACATAATTAATAACTAATTTTTATTTTTCAATTTTAGGGTAGTGGTCAGCACAGATTTCCAAGGTATTTTTATATTCCGTACCATCATTTCCTGGACGAGATATTGGCGACTACAGCGCTGCGTTGCGGCTGGGGACCGTAACTACAAGATTACACACTTCCGGTTAGCGCCAATCATTTTCTGCCGGGTTTCACTTTTACCGAAAATTCAAAAGGAAAAAGAAAATATTTACTATTTAATTTTGTTGAAAATAAGCAAGGTCTCTAAAAATACATCTGTATTTATGACTGGAAATGTATTGATAAAACATCATGTCCAAGGGACCATAATTAAGTTAAAAGATTATTTTCGACATTTTTTTTATCAGGATTGGTCAAAAATAAAAGTTTAATCGAAGATTATGGATCTTTAATCTGAGCCCACCTTTAGGTAAAAAGAGCATGAAACATGACGAGACTAGTACACAAACATAGATTAAGTACATTTAAGTGTTTCCAATCTTCAATAAACCTGGGGAGTGTAGTGGCAGGGCGCGGGACTTCGTTCCCTAAGGTCCCGGGTTCAAATCCCGACTAATCATCAATGGTTATCTAAGTGATGATGCCGCAACCCCTAGGTCTAGCGGGTCTAGCCTGAAGTAATGTGAAAGACAAACCTGGGCTCGTACCTAGCGTCCTAGGACCAAAATCTTAAATAAACCTAGAGTGAAGGCTATGACGTGTCTACTCCTTATCACCTCTAATGTAAAAGATGGTCGTCCCTAGATCATACTAAATATAAAACCTAAATATTAAAACTATAAGAACCCGTAAAGTTTATTTTTACAAGCTTAACATTAATTTTTAAATGCTCTTTTAGACTTTGCTAAACTAAACAGGAAACAGCCTTTATTGTAGTAAAATAGTCTTAAATATTTACTAACTATATGAACTAACATTTTGAGTGCATTACACTCAAAGTATAACCTAAAAATTGCAATAATTTTGCCAAATTCCAGCTCGTACCCGGGTTATTTTATTTTGGTTAAGCATCAGCAAAAAGACCAAATTACAAAATAGGTTTATAAAAGTAGTAGTACCATTTTGTGCATATGTAAACTTCACTGGTAAGATATTTTCACCACGATCCTTTATTGATTAACATTCAAATAATTGAATTCAAAACAATGTTACCATATTTAAACGTACTTACAAGTTTTGCATTTATTATTACATCACCGTTATGTTTTGGAACACTATTCCAAAAAAATCTAATTTTGTTACTAAATGAAAACAATGCATACACTCTAAATAACTTTAGTTTCAATCATTCTTTTAGTAAACTTATTTGAAATTGTTGTTATGTAACTCTATATAAATGTGTTATACAATTAAGGTTCAAATGTATCGGAAAATATACTATTTCAGTCCCTTATTGATCCATAAAACGATTCTATATCTTTAATAACAGCACTTTAAAAAGCTAACAATGTATTTAGCGGTTTTCCATACCGTTGATCACGTATTTTCTCAGAATTAAATGACAAATGTGAGGTTAAATCTCGTTGAGTTAATACCACGTGATTGGTGGAGGGATTTGGACCAATCAGGGCAAAGCTCGACCTCAGTAGACTCAACACAAAGTTGCTTATATTTAAACTGCAACAAATATCAGCGGTATTATATTGTGTTTAACATTTATCCAACTTACCTACTTTAACCTAATGTAGTTTTAGTATTTCACATCCAAAACTTATTTTGTAGCCTTAAACAATATAAAGGAAATCAAGTTAATTTTGTGTTTGTTTTTTATTGTGGGGTGGGGGGGGGGGGGGGGTATTCACTACATACAAGTGGTACATAATCTGTTTTCCTTTTAGAATTTGAACCTACACTAAATAAGAGCTTCGTACCACGAAGTTGCATATAACCTTAATCTAAACAAAGACTAGCCTCAACTGCTTAATATAATTATTTATTAATCTCATCAATTTAATACGAACGACATATATAGGCAATAAAATAAATCATTAAGTGTATTTACTAAAAGAGTAATTCAATTTTTTATTTAACTAGTAGTGTTCAATTGTAATTGAACATTTCCACAATTTTGACCTCATTCAGTTTAAAAACAAAATATTGTTTTATAAAAAAATATAGTTACATTTATTTATTTTATTTATTTATTTATTTGTAAACGATTGCACCATTTTTACATGAAAAATACAATAAACTTACAGACAGAAGAAGCAGAAAAAAATCACAGGCCAGTACAAAGTAGTGAAAGAAAAAAAAACTGGAAAACAAGACTTCAATAACAAGACATAAAAAGATAAATAACAAACTATGAATAACAAACTATCTGAACAGTTAACATTGTTACATTGTTATAGTCAATGATTGTATGTAGTCGCACGTTGTAACTATAACTCAAGTAACAACAAGTAAATACAAAACATTATACTAACAATTGGGTACCTGATTTTAGCAAATTTCTCATATAAACAATAAACTATTTATTTATTCATACCAACGGTCAAACCAATACATAAATATGACAAAAACTTTATAGACTTAAGTTAAAAATAGACAATTTTTGAAGCAATTTAAGCCAACTCAACCAATTCAATAAATAGATTAACAATATGACAACAAAAAGACATAAGATATAACAAGATATAAGAAATAACAAGATATAAGATATAACAAGATATACATTGTATACTATAATATACAATTTGTTACTATGATATACTGTATATTGTATAGCTTTAGGTCTCATTATAAAACCTACACAATTTACTTTTTCGTTCCCAGAGGCCAAAAAAGTCCATGTGTGTGTTAGCACGATAAGTCGAGTAAAAATGGTCCGATTTTGATGAAATTTGTGTGATGAAAGTAAAGTGTTTTTATAGGTGTTTTACGGTGTGAAAATAGGTTTTCCTAATTTTGACAAAGAATACAATTTTGAAATTTATTCTTATAGAATGCAAATAATTTTGTATAAAAAGTGTATTTATGAGTAGTTTAGGGGAACATTCCCCAATACTGTAAGTTTGAAACTCTAGAGTTATTATTATACTGGGTGGCGCATAAAGAACGCATGGATTTGAGTTAAATGGTGAGAGCAATAAGAGCGTTCGTGGAGGGACAGGGCCTGGTTGTTTTGTAGGTTAGGGCGTCCAGTTTTAGTAGAAACGAGAGCACGCCCCGTGGTCGAAAAATCGACCAAAAGTATGTTTTGTGCAAACTTCTCTATTTTCACCCCACACTGTAAATAAAACATGTGATTGGATGTCTTCCATTTGTTTTGATTTTCTGTTTATATTTTGTTGTTATTTCGTCATCACCATAGCAACCCATAAGACCCATGTTAATTTTTTTTAAATTTCAAATTCATTTTTTGTGTTTATTTTGAGCCTATTTTAATTTATAAAGGGATTCTGCACACCTACAGGAAAATAGCTTTCTAACGGTATGCGTAGTTTTTCCCTACGATACACACGAGCTGAGAAAAAAGGTTTTAAAGAAACATGCTTGCCTATTAATATATAGATGGTGCAATCGACCTGGCGCATCGCGTTTTTGCTGTAGAACATTTATTCAAAAATTATGAATCTTATATAACTAACTGTTCAATGGCTTCTCCGTGCACAGTTTAATGGTTCAAAACAAAACCCGATCGCAACACAATACTTTGTTGGGTAGCTTCTTTTCGCAGTTAAGAAGCAGAAGTGGTTTGGTCGTCCTTGCACGGCGCGAACTCCACAAATTGTCGACAGAGTAAGGGCGTCTGCTTCAAAGCCCTCGCCGCTACACTAGGCGATGCGCTCCAACTGTTTGCTTGTCTTGACGCTCGTTGCAGGGCAACCTGAAAGATGAGTTAAAATTTCATCCTTACAAAATTATGAT